TTTGCCTTTTAAAAAGTTACTGACAGTAATGGCCTACAGCTATTAAATATTTTGTAATATATTTTTATTGATTTCAGAGAGGAATGGGAGAAGGGGCGATAGATAGAAACATCAATGACAAAAGAGAATCATTAATTGGTTGCCTCCTGCACGCTCCACACTGGGGATGGAGTCCAAAACCCTGGCATGTGCCCTGACCAGGAATTGAACCAAAACCTACTGGTTCATAGGTCAACACTCAACCACTGAGCCACTCTGACCACTATTAAATATTTTTTAGTAAATATAAAATAGTCTAAAATAAAGTTTAATAAATTCTGCTAATAAGTATCAAACTTAGGCTTAGTGTTATTGATAAACAATGAATAGTTTTTTGGGCTTTTTTTTTTTTTTAAACACAGTCCGAATTATGATATGGCCCCATGATGCTCATTGTTTTCTGTGTCATACCTTCAAAAGGTTATTTCAAATCAGTAGTCTCAGACAAACAGAGCAGTCTGCTGCCATAAAAACCCAAGCAGGGCCCTGGAATTCACTTCCTTTTCCAAGCATCCATGTATACTTAGGTTTTCTGACAGAGAGGTATATGAGCTTTCAGCTTCCTTTTAAATTATCCCACAACAAGTTACTAAACATTAGATTTTTCAATTGCATTCTAACTTTATTGGTGGAAAGAAGAATATTTAAACTACATGCTTTACATAAACTCTAAAAAACCTGTGTACTCTTCAGAATTGTTTTTGTCATTTTCATGAAATACCTGTCCAATTATTTATAAACTAGAGGCCCAGTGCACAAATTTGTGCATGGGGGGGGACTGGCCAGCCCACTCTGATCCGAGTGAGAGAGGGGGTGATTAGGGGTGGGGCCAGCTAGGGGGAGTGGCTGTGGGCAGTTGGCTAGCTGGCCCAAACCCCACACACACACCTGTAGAGGGAACAATTTGCATATTAGCCTTTTATTATATAGGATTAATTGATGTCATAGTAGCTCTCCCCGGGAAATGTGTGCGGCCTTTCTTTGCCATCTCTTCTGTGTGCCTGTAAAAATATATTGTGTGGAGGGACACTTCCTTGCATGAACCTGTTCTTTTTCTTCTATTGATTAAAGCTGACTGTATTCAGATGTTCTTACATCAATGAAAATCTTGGCCTTTTTAAGATGGGCACCTAATGCATTTTAATGGCAGAAAGTCCTACCAGGCGTCTACTCGGAGATAAAATGACCAGACAGTGGCCATCTGCATGAAAATAAAACGAGGTGTCAAAAATGGTTCCAGCCAAATAGTTAGCCATTTCCAGTTCACAGGCTCTTCAGAAGTTCATTTACAGATTTACCGTTTCATCCCTTTTCCCGCAGCACATTCTGCGTTGAGCGTGGTGTGAGGTTGACAATGCAAAGGCTCCTGATGAATAATAATGTGGGAGCTCTCAACCCCAACCCCCTCCCTGTGCTCAAAACAGTTCTGAGACTTATGCATGCAGCAGAAGCACAGTCCTTCCTAGAAGACTGTCTAGGATATAGACTTCTAGATCCCGCCCTGACGCTTTGTGGTTGAGTAGGCTTTAAAAAGGTGCACAGAATTCTTGGCTTAAATAAAGGGTGGGAAAAACATGTCCATTGCAGGTGTAATGTTTGTACCAAACTTCTGAGATGTGGTATAATAGGCAATTATGCTCCTTTATTTGAGATAAGCTAAATTATTATGTTTTTTATTGTTTTGGGAAGTGGTGGCTTAATCAAATAGCTTCTGTAGCTGTACTAGCCAGCATGTACGAGTCTTTTTTCATATAGATTACTTATAATCATTAAGAAAGGTATTATCTATAGCAGCTCTACCTACTAACTATACTATTAGAATCATTTAGTTATGAATGATTTCTACCATAGATTTTCAAGAAATCTTCTATTTGCTTTTATTCTTTAAAAAAATGATTTTTATTGATTTTTAGAGAGAGAAGGTAGTTGGGGGAGAGAGAGAGAAACATTGATGGGAGGGGAACATTGATCGGCTGCCTCCCGCATGCCCCCTACATGCCTCCTACCAGGGATTGAGCCCTCAACCCAGGCATGTGTCCTGACTGGGACTCAAACCAGCAACCTTTTAGTCCATGGGACGACATCCAACCAACTGAGCCACACCAGCCAGGGCTATTTGCCTGTATTCTTCACATGTGCTCACATGCTTCAGAGTTGCTTTTTCAGAAGGTGTAGCCAGAAATAGAAGTCCCTTTGGAAGCAAAATTGGGTAAAAGGATGCCACAACTGCTCACCAGTAACTCCTTCCCGCTCTGCTGCCGAAAAGAAGGCTCTTGTCACATTCTCCTGATCAATATTTGCATATGCAGGCTGTCCCCAAAAGAGTTACCTGTGGCCTTAGCCAGTTTGGCTCAGTGGATAGAGCATCAGCCTGAGGACTGAAGGGTCCCAGTTTCGATTCTAGTGGAGGGCATGTACCCTGGTTGCCGGCACATCCCCAGTGGGGGGTGTGCAGGAGGCAGCAGATTGATGTTTCTCTCTCATTGATGTTTGTAACTCTCTATTCCTCTCTCTTCCTCTCTGTGAAAAATCAATTAAAAAAATAGTTACCAGTGTTTCACAGTTTCTCCCCTGGTACCTTTTATTCGTTCATTTTTATAAAAGTGGAATGAATCCCAGGGCATGTCTCCACACATGTCAATGTGCTAGGCTCATAGTAAGAAAACTGTGGCTCTTGAGCCACATGCGGCTCTTTGGCCCCTTGAGTGTGGCTCTTCCACAAAATACCATGGCCTGGGTGAGTCTATTTTGAAGAAGTGGCATTAGAAGAAGTTAAAGTTTAAAAAAATTGGCTCTCAAAAGAAATTTCAATCATTGTATGGTTGATATTTGGCTCTATGGACAAATGAGTTTGCCAACCATGGTGCTAGGCAACTATATATAGCAGACATATGGCATTTCCATCTAGTCCGATGAGATTGAGGACCTCCTTAGATAACACTTATCAAGGTGCTATGCCATTCAAAAACCAATAGTGACCCTAAAGTCAAAAACAATAATAATGATGGTGACTAAATTTCACTGAGCATCTGACAGGAATTCACATCAGTAATCAAAGCAACCCTAGCAGATTTTTCATTTAGGAAAGCAGGGAAACTGAATCTCAGGTTCGGTGTCAAGCAATGAGCAAAAGGCAAAATGATGACTTCTATCAAAACGGCTTTATTTCAGAGTCCATGTCCTTAATGACTGTGTCTCTTTCTGAAACCTGAGTTAGATCTTGGGCTACTTTTGGTTGTTATTGACATTGCATGAGGTCCTTAACAGAAGTAAAACATCTACCAAGTTAAATATGTTCCATTTTAATAATAGAGAAGTAGAATAGAGAGATTATTTCACTTATGCCTCAGATAACCGTACTGCATTGCTTTTCACATAGCATGTGCCACATACAATGCAAATTTCTGTAGCTGCTAAGAGTGATCTGAAAGTGTACTTCTCAAATTGTCTAGATTAGTGGTCGGCAAACTGCTTGCTGCTCATGTGGCTCATGAGCCACATGCAGCTTGTGAGCCGCGGTTTGCTGCTCTGTTGACTAATGAGTTTGCAGACCACTGGGATAGGGGCTTAATCACAAGGAACAACAACAGCCTATAATTATTGGAATCGGGAGTCTAAGTCAGTGGTCTGCAAACTCATTAGTCAACAGAGCGGCAGTTTGCCAACCTCTGGTCTAGATGAGAAGTTCCAAGGCAACGATGTGGCTTTCTTAAAAAGTAGCCATCTATTTTTTTTCTCATTAATGACATTGGCAGAGTTGAATGGGATGTGATTGTTCTAACAGACATAACATTTTAAGCATCATCATTGCGGTCTCTAAACTTCATCCACGTGAGAACATTTCCCTGTTAAATGTTGAATGGCGAATCTGATATCTTGACAGTCATGCTGCACAGTCATCCCTTGTAGAAACAGTGTTGAATAATAGTTATACATCATGAAGCATAAGCTACCATTTGTTTTCTACAGTAGCGTTTGCCCAGGGTTTCCGATCGAAGTGATTAATATCACAGAACCATAAATGAGGATTATTAAGCTAATTCTCTGACATCCCGAGAAATAACTTCACCCAAAGTTAATGCAGCTTTGCAAATGCAATGAGCACATTCAAGCGGCACCCGAGTCCGCGTATCTGTGCAAACAGTTCTCTGTGCTGTGGTAATTCTTCTAATCCCTGTAATTTATTCATCTCAGGACACACTCCCAAGCGCTGTTTGCATGTCTTAGCCACTCGCTTTGACAACAGTATTCATTGTTGGGTGAGAACAGATGCAAGTCTTCAGAAAGCTTTGTTGCAATGACATTTGTGCCAAGGAACATTCTAGTTGGCAAGCACGTGCAACCTGATGAGAAATATTAAAGAAGCATTGTGAGGATTCAAGATTTAAGTCCTCAGAAGGAAGGCGGGGGAGAGTGGGGGTAAGAGGGAGAGATCAACCAAAGGACTTGTATGCATGCATATAAGCCTAACAAATGGATACAGACAACAGGGAGCTGAGGGCATGAGTGGAGGTGTGGGCATGGGGGACATTGGGGGGATAAAGACACATATGTAATACCTTAATAAAGAAAATTTTAAAATATTTAAGACCTTTACTTCCAAGACCATCATCTCAAAGGCCACACTACAATCGCTGTGACAATTCCAAATCTCATTCTAGATGCCTGTATATACTCAGATTGGAAAGAAACATATAACTGCCCAGTGGAAATTTGCAAATACCCTTAACTATGCTATTTCCAGCCCCAGACACCCAATGGACACAAAGGTAATGACCTCAATTTTCATCAACTCATCAAAGCTGAGGTTTTAAAGAGATGAGTGTTTTTCCTTATTCTTGGCTCAAGCCATCCATGACCATTTAGAAAATTGAAAAGGATTAAAGGTGGTTCAAACCATCTATGTCATCAGAAAAGCACCGATGTCATCAGAAATGCTGACGTCAGCTTTTATGTTTCAGGTCATTCAAACGGTGAGTGCCATGGACAAAGACGATCCCAAAAACGGACATTATTTCTTATACAGTCTTCTTCCAGAAATGGTCAACAACCCGAATTTTACAATCAAGAAAAATGAAGGTAAATATATTAGCATTTTGGAAGGAGGTGCCCTATAACTTGGAAAATAAGATGTGAGTTCATAGTATGACCGAACATATCAATACAGTAAGTTTTGAGCAGTCAAAACTCCAGCTTATTAGCCTCATGGTATGGGAATTACATCACTTCCTCTTTCCAATATTGAAACAGTAGATAAGCAAATTATTCATGTGCATGTTAATTTCATCCCAGCTTATACCTCAATCACTTTCTTTTTGAAAATGCACTGTAAGTTTTAACCCTTATGGAAGTTCCAGGAATTTTGAGATACTGACATGACTGTTAGGGGAGGATCTGGCATATACTTTTCAGTTGTTAAGATGTAATTGAACATACTATATACACTCACATCAGAAAGAAATATACCATCGTTTCTTACAAAAGCTTTAGGGAAAGCCTATTATTCCAATGGTGCCTGGTTTGTGAGTACATATTAGAGGCATTTGTTTAAACCTGTATACCAATGTTGATAATAGAAATTACAACAGAAAATCCTGCTTGAATGACACTCCTTATCAGTGTTATTTTGGAGCTAATATGATCCCATTTTATTTATAAGTCTTTCACTGACAGAGGACATTTAATGGATAGGATGCCACCCAAAAAAAATGCCCACTTTGAATAATGATAAAGACAGTGTTTATTAAAATGTACTTCATTTTCAAAATGGAGCTAGCAGCTGTTAAAATATGTATACATTTTTGGGGGACACTCTGTGGGTCATTAGTTGCTGAGAACCAAGTTTGGATTAAGTGTTTCCCTTAACGATTGCCTGTTACATATAAAGGTCATAGATCACTATAAAAAGTCTCTCTGAGGGGAGGTGGTTTGGGGGATGGGGTGGGAAAGAGAGGTACTGACTTGCAGTAGCAAATACGCACGGGGATGTAAAGTACAGCATAGAGAATGAAATCAATAATATTGTCGTAACTATATATGGTGCCAACTGGGTACTGGAGAAAAAGTCTATTTTTCTGTACATTTTTGTTGCCCTAGCCACTGTATATTTCACAAGGAGTTTTTAACTGCTTCTTTTGGCTTGGATGTGTTTAAGTCTAAATTTCAGCTCTTCTATAATAGAATGAGTAACAAAATAAATGTATTGTCTCAGGCTGTCTTCTGACTTAACGATAGGCGATTGTTTAGATTTATGAATGGTCTATGTAAAAGCTGTGCTCAATCCAAAGAGTAAAATTTGGTTTATGGCAATCGTTTGGATTATCCACTAGGTCCCTATTTCTAGGAGGTAGTGAATGTTGGCACAGTTTCTTTATGAAAGAAAATAACATTTTAGGCTCCTGTTAAATATAGTATGGCCTTACTTTTGAACATATTGCTATCATTGGGCATGCTTTGATAAATGTGGGTGCATCACAGACAAGGAAATGAGAAAGTCATTATAAAGTTATTATTCATTTATCTGGCTTCCATGATTCTAAACTCTACAGAGATGAAATCCTGCTTTCTCCTCAGTCACAAAGCACTCATTGTTGGACTACCCTAATTAAGAACTCCAGTCCAAGTACATCACCTTTGTTTTTTAGTTAATTCTGCCAAAACTTCTTTTTTTCTGGAAGCCATGTAAATATGGCTAACATGAAAATCCCCTCAGAAATTTCAAACTGAGGTGGAAGTCTATGCTCAAGGACCCATGTTTACTTTGTTTTTTGTTTGTTTTGTTAATCCTCACCCAAGGATGTTTTTTCCATTGACTTATTTTTATTTTTTAATCTTTACTGTTGAAAGTATTACATATGTCCCTCTTTCCCCCCCACTGATCCCTTCTAATCCACCTCCACCCCCATACCAGGCCTTCACCACCCTATTGTCTGTGTCCCTGGGTTATGCATATATGCATACAAGTTCATTGGTTGGTCTCTTCCCACCCACCCTTCCCTGCTTTCCCTTTGAGCTTCAGCAGTGTGTTCCATTGGTTTTTAGAGAAGGTGGAAAGGTGGGAGGAAAAGAGACAGAGAGAGGGAAACATCGATGTGAGAGAGAGGCATGGATTTCTTGCCTCCTGCACTCACCCTGACCAAGCTGGGGATTGAGCCTGCAACTGAGGCATGTGGCCCTGACCAAAACCCAACCTGGCACCCTTCAGTCCCAGGCTGACTCTCTAACCACTAAGCAAACCAGCTAGAGCTCCATACTTACTTTGATTGTGAGCTAATAGGTACCAGCCATTAATTTTGCATAGAAAATGTCCTACATTAAAAAATTCCCTGTGGAGAATTTTGTTGTTGTTATTTTGTTTTTGTTTTGTTTTTTTATCTCAAAGGTTCTGAGTTTCTGGAGTTTTCTGTGTTTCATGTACTTTCAAGACATGCCCATTATAGGTAGGGCCCATGGAAGGCACTAAATAGATATTTGAATAGATGAGAGGTTGTTATTGGGTATCCGTGAAAGCATAGATTTGTACTGTATTCATTATTCCCTAAACCTTTGAAAGAGGATAATCTCAGTCCTACCATGAATGAATGTCATATGTTTTCTCTAATTTTTTGAACTAGTAGAAGTAAAAGATTTTATATTTAGAAACCCATAGTTTAGTTCCATCAGACATATCAACAAACCCTGTAATAGAATTTTTTTTAATATATTTTATTGATTTTGTACAGAGAGGAAGGGAGAGAGATAGAAAGCCAGAAACATCGATGAGAGAGAGTCATCGATCAGCTGCCTCTTGCACACCCCCTACTGGGGATATGCCCGCAACTAAGGTACATGCCCTTGACCGGAATCGAACCCAGGTCCCTTCAGTCCCCAAGCCGACGCTCTATCCATTGAGCCAAACCGGTCTCGGCTGTAATAGAATATTTAAAGGCATATGGATTATCTGTTTTATTTTGAAACTAGAAAATGGAAACTACAGAGGTGTGTGTGTGTGTGTGTGTGTGTGTGTGTGTGTGTGTGTGTGTGAATAATTGGGGGGAAATGATGTCAGCTACTGCAAAATTACTCAGGACAGAAAGAACACTCTTTGTGCCACAATTGTGTCTTTTAAATTGTTTATTTATTTTGCAAAGAATGGCCATATAAGTTATTATTTCAACTGGGACTTTTTTTTTAAGTGAAAGGGGTTGCTATTTGCATTTATATTGGTGCCTGTAAAAACCATAAACCAGGACTATCTTGTGGAAACCGGGACATATGTTCGCTGCGATTATGGATTTAGGATCCAAATATTTAACATCTCCATAGAATAAGCTATGAACCCACAGGTCTCTGGAATATCTGCCTTTTTCTGTACTAGAAATTCATGAATTTTTCTCCATAGACCACTCTTCTTGGTATCTGAATAGTTACTGTGAAATAGAAAAGCAATCTGTCTCTTCTTAACATGTAGAAACAAAGTAATAGAAAGAAATTGTCAGATTTAAAATGTTGGAGACACATAGCTAAATAGATAGCTTGTGAACTTATTACTCATTCCTTGTTATTAATGATGGGAGAAAACACACACACAAAATCAACCAAAAGTCCAAATAATAGACATTATTTATGTTAAAACTATGGCATATTTCCTGTTTAAAACATGGCAGGAATCAAATGGTATAATATGGTGAGAATTATTTTTTTCACGATAGACTTTAAAGTGATCAATAGCTGTTGTTTCTCTATTGAGCACATCATAATTTACAAGACCCTTCCCACTTGATGAAGGTTAAGATTTTGCGATAGTCAAAGTTTTCAAATTCATCATTGATGGGTGGCTGGCCCCCCTTTTAAATGAGATCTTTAAAAGAAATGGTTGCAGTACTTGGAATTTTCTAAGAAACTCACAGCTGTGTCTTTCAACTTGAAGTCACTGTGATCTCCTTCTCTCATCTAGATTGGTCCTACTGCAATTTTCAGCCGACTAATTCAGAATCAAAGACAAAATGAGATAGAAATTAGCTGTCTCTTATCTCCTACACAGTTGAGTGATTTCACATAGAATTCTCTTTTTGAATTTATGAGAATCATATATCTGCCAGAACAGGAAAGCAACCTTTAATAGGAATTAAGGTGAAAGCAAAGATCAAAATGTGTTGAGTCATTTCTATTACATGTACATACCAAACCATCATATCGCCTGAATTGTCTAAGTTAGATGACCCCAACATCCGTTCTCCAGTTGGGAGTATTTATAAACAAAAGGAATTTTGCTGATCACATTTCAGAATTTGTTTTCATTCCAACCATGAAAATGGAAGATAGTCAACAATTAAATATAACGCACTAGGCAGTTCCAAGACCATTTACATTTTCCCAGGAATATCTTGCTGAAAATTTGAGGTCTGCAGAAACCTGATCTTATCCATCCTGCACACTGTAGGTAAAAGACTTGACTGGAATTGCCAGAAATCAGTAATGAAAGTAGAATCTTCATGTTTTATACTGAAGTATTTGAATCAGGTATGTAGAGAAAGCTCTGCTTGCTAAGGAGGGCCTATGGGAAGAAAAGAAGTAGATGTTGTACTTGGCCTTTATTATAGGTAGTTAGGCTTAAGAAAGAACAGCAGGGGGACTAGAGTGCCTGATGACAGTAATTTTTTTTTCTCTTCTTAATGTCTGTTTCCTCCTCCCCCCCACTCCTCCTCCTCCTCCCCCCTCCTCCTCCTCCCCCCTCCTCTTCCTCCTATCCCTCCCCTCCTCCTCCTCCTCCACCTGCTCCTCTTCTTTTTCTTCTTCTTCTTCTTCTTCTTCTTCTTCTTCTTCTTCTTCTTCTTCTTCTTCTTCTTCTTCTTCTTCTTCTTAATTCTATTGATAAACATTTCACTATAAAGGTAATCATAGCCATTGGTCTGAATAATATAAATGTTGATCAAAGCATTGGAATAAACGCACCTTGGATTGGCTCAATGCCCATAATATGATCACCTTTTGAAGATACAATTCATGCTTGGTTTTGTAGGATTCCTATTTCAACCGATTGGCCAACTTCAAGAAATAAGTGTTTTATGTCTTTTTATCCTCTGGAAGCATCCCTTGTA